GGACTGCGCGCGCGCAGGAGCAGCTGTATTCGCTGCTGCGGAGGGAGGCGGAGCGAGAGGCGCAGCTCACTCTCGCCCCTGGCAGTGCGCTCGCGATGCGCTAGTCCTGCGCCTGCCACGGGGGAGCGCAAGGAGTAGGCCGCCGGCGCGCCCTCCCCCGTGGTTGCGCTGCTCTTCGGCCACTTGCACACAGGCGCGCGTGTATTCTGTTGTATCATTTATATTATTATATTATATGAAGAGATATGTCGCATGCACACAGGTGCGACCATCTCTCGCGTATTCTGTTGTATCATTATATATTATATGATATGAAGATGTATGTTGCATGCACACAGGCGCGCGTCCGACCACACCTCGTGTATTCTGTTGTCTCATTATCTATTATATGATATTAAGGTATCTGTTACATGCATTGTAGTGCATTGTCCGACCTCACCTCATGTATTCTGTTTTGATATTGTAGTGTATCGTCCGACCACACCTCGTGTATTCTGTTTTATGTATATCGGAGTGTATTGCGTGCATACATGCAGGCGTCGTCCGGCGGCTGTCTTCCCTCTGCTGGTTGAGAGAGCCGGGTGAGGACCGGCCAGTCGCCATGGAGCTGCTAGGCGCCCGAGATTGCCCGAGATCGCCCGAGATTGCGGGAGATTGCGGCTGGCCAGTCGCCATGGAGCTGCTAGGCTCCGTGCGGCTGCTGCCGCCCTTCGAGCGCAGCAGCGCCGAGCAGGAGGCGAGCGGGAGATCAATCTCGGGCAATCTCGGGCGATCTCGGGCAATCTCGGGCGATCTCGGGCGATCTCGGGCGATCTCGGGCGATCTCGGGCGATCTCGAGCGATCTCGAGCGATCTCGGGCGATCTCGGGCGATCTCGGGCGATCTCGGGCGCAGGCCGTGTCGAGATCTCCATCTCCGACTCCTCCCGCCCGCGCCGGGCGGTGGCGCCGCGCCGTCGCGCCGAGCCGTGAGGTGTGAATTAGCGTCTGCTGACCCCTGTGTGTGGTTCGGTTCGCTCAGGTCGCAGCCGCGTGGCGGGCGGTGGCGGATGCCGGTGGTGTACTTGAGCCCGTCGCTCACGCCTCGC